GGCCGCTGGGGCTCAGCTTGTCCAGCACCCGCTTGACCACCATGATGAATGCCTGCACGTAGGGGGCCCCTCTGGCCTTGTAGTCGATCGGCTCGCCGTCCTTCTCGCGGGCCTTGAGCTGCTGCGACTCCCTGTCGTAGGCCACGCCCGCGGCCTTGCGCACCTCCCCTACCGAGTCGGCGACGTCCTCCTTCACGAAGTACGTCTCGTACACGGCGCCCTCCAGGGGCGCGATCTGACGGGCCCCCGACAGCACCAGCTTCGCGATCACCATGAGGAGCGCCACTTCCCACTTGTCGTCCCCATTCTTCCCGCCCTGTGCATGGGAGCCGCGAGCGCGTTCGGCCTCCGATCCTGGGCTCTCCGCAGGCCGCTTCATCCAGGGCGGCATGCCCACATCCTGACTGGGCCCTCCTCCACTCCCCGGCGTCGGCGCCGCCTCCGACATGAATAGATGGCCCTCGTAGCAACTCGCACCGAGGGCAAGGTGGAACACGCGAAGGAAGATGAGCCCGTTGATGGCTACGGAGATCAGGCCAGTCTCTGCCCACGAACGAGCACCCGCTACAGCTAAAGTCGGTGGGCACTTTAAGCTCGACAATCGAACGGGGTTCCCGACGTCCACAATAGCCCCTAAGGATAGATTGTCGTGGATGTCGCGCGGGCGTAGTTTGGGAGCGGAAAACTCGAACACACACTGCGCATTGATTCGTCTTGGAGAGAACGCGAGGGAGATTACGAATGCCGCGCCCATGGCGAAGGTGCTCCTTCAGTCCTTTCGCTGTCCGAAACCGCTCACCACACTCCTGGTTCGGCTCCTCTGCCTGCCCCCCTTTCTTCGCCGTGCAGCTAAACGGGTGCAGAGCCTCCTCCTCCCGCACCGCCTCCGCGTGCTGCATGCCCTTCATCTCCTCCGCCTCCTCCAGATAAGACGGGGGTGGAATCGCATGCGTGCGCTCAACAGCCCGAACTCGTCGGACATCGAGGCGTGCGAAATCCTCACGACAATCTTCATGCTCGATAAGTAACCAAGGCCGCTCTCCCATCCGTGTTAGCAGCTCCTCCGCATCAGGGCAATAGGTAGCCGCCTCAATCAGATCTGCGCATTCTCCTGGCCCATGGAGAATGGAGAAGCGTAGGGCGTCAACCCATCGACATGGCAGGGCATTGCTTCTGGTGCCTCGAAGGGGAAGGCCCCGAACAAGGCCGACAGCACCTGCACATGCGACTCCTGGTGTGATGCCCAGTTTTGGTACCGCGACAGCCTGCGAGCAAGGAGCTCTCGGTGTGTAGTCGCTACCCCCCAGTGAGTAAGTGTGGCCCGTGTGTCCAGTGCGTGCTTAGTCCCATCCTCGCTCGTCGTACACGCTCTCCCCCTGATGGCCATCCTTCCCAACCTTGCCAGATGCTTAACCGCGAGACTCATCTGTTTGGAGCTGAGTAGGAATGGTTCCATGCCCGACAAGAGAGCGCCCTGGATCAAGCCCTGGAAGATCGTCCGACGCCAAGCCTGGGGTGAACGGAGACTCCCAAACCGCCCCATACTGTAGCATGCCGGTGTCGCGGCCGCGAGGCGTCTCTCCAGCTCTGGGGTGGGCTGCTTCGTCGGCGTCAGCACTGGTCCAAGGTAGCGAGCAAGATCGGAAACAACTCCCTCCATCCTTCCTCCCGCCACCCCGTGCTCTTTGATGTGTTTATTGCATGCTGCTGCCCCCTGTCCCGCGATGAAGAAACTCGCGACCTGCTTCTGCCTATTCTGAGCGTGGCCTGACTCCGCGAGAGAGCGGTCCAAGATATCATCCGACGCCCTCAACATGTGATAGACCTCGCTCATGCTAGTGCCCGCGGCCAAAGGGGTCGGTCGTAGCAGGTCGCCCGCGTATTTCCCGAAGGACATGTCAACTGGCTCTCCGCACCATTCCCCCTGCAACAGAGAAGTGGTCGGCAGACGATCTAATACTCCATGCCCCCAACTATGCGCTGATTCAATAAAACCTCCCGCGAAACCGCGCGCGCTGAAGGGGCCCCCTATCACCCCGCCGACCCCCGTCTTCACCAGTAAAGGCCCCGGCGTCGCATCTACTTCCACGACCGAGCAACGATGGCGCTGGCGACAGAGGACGCGATCACATGGGCCGACAGTTTCGTTAATGACCTCGTCAAGCTTGCTCCACTTGGTGCCCCCGAAAGCGTTAGATCGGTCTTTCATCGTCGAACCGCGCGACCAATGTGCCTGACGCAGCCGATACCCCAGGATCATCGTCGTCATGATGGCATCCTCTCGTCGACGATGTTTCGCAAAACCGTGGCCCTGGGTCGGGGGCCTCAGGGAAATCCTCCGCGCGCACCAAGCCTTGCCGATGGAGGGGGGGGGGGGGGGATCGGCCTACGTCCCGTAGGTCCTACTTTGTCGTTTCTGCGCAGCCCCACCCCCTTCGACCGGCGCCAGTAAGCGGCGCCATATCAACCCTGCGGATCTGAGAGAGGCTCAGGTGCAATAGGCGATGGACCTTCGCCATGTCGGGGGGCGCCCTCGATCCTGGATCCCCTGGAGCGGCGAGAAGACCATGTCCCAGATCTCCAGGGGGGTAGTCTCGGGTGGCGCCGCCAGCCTTGTTCTGGCCGCACTGAGGTAACCCCTGATCTTGCCGAAATCCTCCCCCGCCAGCTGCTCGATCGCATGCTCGTCCGACGCCGACGCGGGGGGGGCTGGCAGACCTTCCCTCTCTTGCCTCCAGGTGGCCCATTCCAGGGGCCTGGCCTCCATGCCTCCAGCAGCCCCCGTCTTAGCGAGGTGCTCAAGCCAGACCTCCCTGGGCAGCGGCGGCGGTCCCAATCTCCTCTCATCTCGTTGTTTAGCCCCAAACCTCGTCCTTGCAGCTCTCCTCGAAAGTGCGCTTGCATCCGCCATCCCCCTCTCCCTCCACGCCTCCTCCACCATCTCGATGTAGATCCTCCTCTCCTCCTTCCTAACGCTTCGCCGTTCATCAAGCATCAGTGCAGATAACCTCCTCGACTCCTTCTCCGCCTCCCTCAGCTTGTCCTCCTCGCCCCCCCGTCCTGGATCAGAAGTTTGGACTCCTTCAGTGCCAATCGCTGTCGCAATAACTAGCGACGCCGTCGAGAAAGCTCCGGATCCGGTGCGAGAGGTTTCCGAACGAAGTGCTGGTGGCCAAGAGTAGTAAGCACGTCCTCCATTCGTTCAAAGAAGGTGTCAGCCGAGCCCGTCGCGGCATAGCCTGCTAACTCTGCCTCGCGGCCCTCTAACTCCGTTGCCATTGCCTGGAGGAACTGACCCTTGCCCTTCCCGCTCCTGACTGCCTGCGTCGGTGCCGAGGGGTCCATGCGTCTAGGTGGGACATATGGGAGCAAGTACGGGTCCTTCTCATACCGCGCGACAAGACGCAGAGGAAGGTGGTCTCGCGGCGGAGGTCCTCGCATTGCCTGAAGTTGGGCCCCGAGGTTGCGCAATACTTTGCACTGCCGAACACGATCGCGATACCCAGAGGCTAGGAACCAGTAATCAATTCTGGAGGAGGTAGTAGGTGAGTTGGCAGAGTAGTAGGTGTTCTCGGATGGGAGGAAAGTAGATGGGGCGACCAGATGCTGTTCCTCAATCATCTTGCGAGCCTCCTCCCCGGCACCTCGTCTTCTAGCCCCTCTGCTCCGACAAGGGGCCAATCGACGCACTCGGGGGTTCAGTCCAGACGCCTGGTACTCTAGAGCAGCCGAGACCGTCATTGACATCTGCATAGAAGACTGGAAGCGTTCGCGATGGGAGTCCCTGCAGCAAGTCTCGCCACCACTTCGTCAGGATCTGTACCGTAGCATAGTGGGCACCGGCCTGACCACGTATGGAGGGCTGGGGTGGAAAGTAGATGGCACCCAGCGTCGCATCTAGTGCCCCACGCTTGATTCGAGCTGCCACCGCTCGACCTTCACAATTCGGCGGGGAACCCCGAACCTGAGTGACCTCTCGATCTCGAAACTCGGAGCCTAAGATAACTGAGCAACCAGTAGAACTGTTAGTATATGCTCCAGGAGTGTACACCGATTCGATAACGAGCCTCCCATCGACACGACGACGTAGCACGCCCTCCCCTCTCCTGCAGCTCTCCTCCGTTCCTGCTAAAAGAAGGAAGTCGGCAGCGCGAGTAGCCGCGAGCAGCTCGTGGAGCCGCTCGCCCGTCGCACGCAGGGGGTTGAAAGCGAGGATCCGCAGGGCGGACCTCGCCACGGCGCGCGCGCTAGCGCCGCGGGCAGCCGTGAGAAGGGTTCCCCGACCCCTCGGCACCGCGTGGGAGGTGCCCCTTGCCCCTGGCCCTGGCGGTCCCTGAGCCGCTCAGAGGTTGAGGGGGAGGGGGGGGAGGAAGAGGAGGAGGAGGAGGAGGAGGAGGAGGAGCGCGCTGGCCAAAAGAGAGGGACGAGAAGAGGGCAGGCGGACAAGAAGCGAGATGAGGGCAAGCCGTCGTCGTCGCGGCCGCGTGCGGCGGCGCCTGCGGGGCCGTGCCTATCAGCGCGGACAGGTCTGCCCTCCGCCTGCAGACCTGCTGAAAACGGGCCCCTGCCACGGCGACGGTCGACGCGGGACGCTGGCGACAGGTAAGAAAACAATGGAAGCAGGCATCAATATACAACAAGATAGACAACAGAGCACGATTGTCAAGGGGAAAACAATCTATAAAACTGAATTCAGATGGCACCATGGGCAAGGCTAAGACTACCACCAAAGTGAGGGCTGCAGAGAAGGAACGAGAAGCCAGAGAGCTGATTACCTCACGCTCCAGGGCACGGAAACACTCGTACGACCCGCGAACCTCTTGAATACATACAACATCAAGGTACTGAGTCACATTGATAAGCTGCCTGATCTTTGCGCGGTGGGAGTGCTGCGGGGCGCACAGTGCGCCGAAGAGCGAACGAGCATTCCAAGACACAACTGAAGAACGCTTGCACGGCAAGAAAAGGCTGCGTCGCATCAGCAACGCAGGCCAGTCAGCCGTAAACGACGAAGAAGAGCAGGTGGATGAGGACGTAGAACTTGCCGAAGGTGCCGAACGTGCAGACGACCCACCAGGACTGGAAGACCCAGACGCGCTGGCCGACGAGGATGAGGCTCTTGCTCTTCTCTCTGAAGTGGCTATTCCGCATGTAGACCAAATTCTCTTCGTAAGTGACGGTGTGGCGTGTTGCTGGTCGTCGCTGTCTGCCGCTTGCTCAGGTGCGGAACGTACACCGCAAGCGCCCACGCAGAACGGGGCACCCAAACCAGTCAAATCACAATCCACAGGAGAGGCGAAGAACCCCAGTTGCATATCATGCAAGTCGGCCTTCATGCACTGCTGGCTTGGCAGAGCGGTCTCCTAGATCAGGATGCTCTCAACCGCGCTGTTGATGGTGGCATCAGTGAAGCCGATCTTCTTCAATGCCGCGACGTTGGGAATGACGTCCAATTGCATCGACTCTACGCCTTTCACCTGGAAGAGGTTCTCCGTGTCATCCTTTGAGATCAGCCATAGCGCGCCACGAAATCCTTGCGAGCCTAGCGTAAAAGATTGACTCCACTTGTTATAGGCCTTGGCTGTCTCCACAACCTTGGACCAGAGGACGCCGAGGATGCGGTTGACTTTGCGGATGGCTGGCGGTGCGTCCATGCGGATCTTCAATTCACAGTCAGTATTGGTGCGAGGGTCGCACCACTTCACACCCAGGGTCCGAGCGCGTATCAAGAAATCCTTGGCCGCCTCATTCGAATCAAAGATGATGCTGTATGCCGTCTGGAAGTTGTGGGACTTGGGCATTGCCGTGATGCCGTTGGGGACGTGCTTTTGGATGAGCTGAGTAGCATGGGCACTCATGGCCTTGGCTAGCAGCGGCCTCGGGAAGCCCGCAATCCAGATCTTGCGGTTGTCCCTCTCCTTCTCGGGCTCTTGTGATGCGGCCGATGCATTTGACCTGGTCGATGGTGTCCGCGATGGCAGCGCAGCAAGTTCGGCCTGCATCTTGAGATTATGGGCCTTCATGTCCTTCAGTTGATTGTCAACAGCTTCAGTCATGACGGCGGCGGCAGCGGATTGTGCTGCCTCCATGCTGGTATTAGTTCTATCCTCGATAGCCTTCATCCGCGCAGTCAGACCGTTGATCCTGACCTCGTGCTCATGAGTGTTCCTCTTCACCTCTGTGACGTCATCCTTTGTGGCGATGTTCGAGCGAATGTCACCCAGCATCCCGCGTAGCAAGTCAGCATCGCCAGTACGCCCATGCTTCGGGACCGAGCAAGCTTCCTCTGCCACTGGCGTTGGGCACATCATCTCATCATCAGAAGCCATCGCAGTGGTGCGGCTGCACTGACTCAGAAGGTGCCTAAACGGAGCTGTCCTGCGGGCGGCCGATGACCTGGCCTCGGGAGCAGGAAACAAGGCAGCTCGAGGGCAAAATGCCTATGAGGACCACTTTGGCCCTCAGTCTGGGATCTCGCTACACCGTAGCTTTCATCCAGACTTGAGCCAAAATGGCTACGGAGGAGGAGGAGGAGGAGGAGGAGGAGGAGGAGGAACAGGAGGACGAAGAGGAGGAGGAGGACGAAGGGGAGGACGAGGAGGAGGAGGAGGAGGAAGAGGAGGAGGAGCAGGAGGAGGAGGAGGAGGAGGAGGAGGAGGAGGAGGAAGAAGACCCCCTCCCCCTCCAAATTACGGTGGCGGTGGTGGAAACAGCCCCTGGATGACCCCCCCGCTCAAAACGTTGCCCAAGGCCTCCCCTTGGAAGCGCGAGGAGGCGTCACCGCGAGAGCTTCTCTCTCTTTCTTTCTTTCTTTCTTTCTCTCTCTCTCTCTCTCTTTCTCTCTCTTTCCTCTCCTCTCTCTCTCTCTCTCTCTCTATCTCTCTTCGCGGCTCCCCGCCGCCCTGAGGCCCATGTACAGACGAGAGCTGGAAGGCGGCCCGCGACGAGAGACGAACAACATCTCTGGGGCTTAATCGGCAGCTCTGGTGGCCGCCTCCAGCAGGGAGCTCGTCCACAGGAAACCTCCCACAAGACACCCAGCCCTGAGGCCTCAGCACGTCTCTTGGTTTTTTTGGCGTGGGGGCGTCGCGCCTTCCGCAGCGAAACCACCAAAGCCCAAGAAACCCAGGGCACCCTAGAGGCAAGCAGGGCGTTGCTTGGTTTGGGTTTCCACTGTTCGGGGGTGGACAGACCCCCCTCTAATAAAACGTGGTTTAGTGAAAACGACCTGAGGCCCAAACCTGGCGGGCGCAAGCCTGGAGAATAACGGCCACGGCGCCCTCTCGAGAACCGAAAACGGACAATTCACCAATCGACGTGTCACTGTTGGGGGTTCTGTCCACCCCCGAACTGTGTGGCCAGGAGGTGCTGCTTTGCGTGTCGCGGCGGCGATCCTGGCACCACGCCATGCCCTGCAGGCGCACGGCGTGCCGCTCCGCTCCGCATGGCGGGCGTGTACAGCGTGCCGCGCCGACGGGTGGTGGGCCAGAACCAACGGCGCGACACGCTGAGCAAGCGTTCCTGACCGTGCATCTCGGGTCGGGCGGAAGGGGGGATAGCAAAGGGTTGAGAATCAGCTCACGTAGCTGATTTTCCCGGCGCCTCCGGGCGCCGGAGGCGGCTATGTATCGAGGAATGGGCCCCTCGGTGAGGCCGAAACCAGCGCTGCATGCAGCAAATTTTGTAACCCCCCCTTTCCCAATCCCCCCCTTTCGTCCGGCCCGAGCATCGTGGGAAAATCACGAAGGCTAAGGTTTGGGAGGAGGAGAGGAGGAAGGCAGCAAGGAGGAGGAGGAGGGAGAAGGGGTGGTCAGAGGGTTTAGGGGGGTTCTGGGCGGCCAAGGGCTCGAATCCCTTCAATGCTCCCCTCCTTTGCGGTGAATGCACACGCTGGCAAATGTTCCATCGCCCCTGATGTGGGCCAAGCTTTGATGGACCTGGACTGTCGCAGTCACGTGACGCAAATCGTTGCAACGAAGAGTGCTCTTCGAAACGGAAACCCTCTCCTTGGAGTCGAAGACACCTCCACGCCTTTCGGCTACACGCAAGAGTGACCCTAGGTAAGAGTGACCTTTGGTGCGCGGACTTTGGGGGGTGCAACGTGGCCAAACCCAAGCGAGTAAGCCACCGCAGTCGGACCTAGGCCAGAAGAGCATCCTTCAAGAACATGAGATCCTCCGTCGGCCACCAAAACGAACAGAGTTCCAGGGCACCCTCCCCAGGATGCACGAGAACATCCGGCGAGCACGAACAACTCGAGGGCACCCTCCCCGAACCGATCTCGGTCCTCCACCTCGGCCCGGCTGTATCGCATCGCGCTCAGCGACCGGGGGACCCGATGAGCCCGCACCGATGGTCTCTCCGACCTGGGCTGCACGATGCCTGAGTTTCCCTGGGTGCCCTCAGCCAGTCAGCCCTCACCCTGCGGCTCAGCTGCCGCCTTGTGAGCTGGCCCGGCCGGCCCGTTCCGCGCCCTGCAGGTAATTAGGTCTGTTTCCGTGCCCCAGACAGCTTCTGTCTCCGCCTGCGCTCTTCGCTCGCGGACGCGACCGAAAAAGGTCTCTCTGGCCAGGGGCCACTCTTGCGTGCCGCCGAGCCTCTCGCTGTGCTCCCCGCCCCCGCCGCCTCCGTCGGTGGCCCGGCCCCGCGCAGCAGCGGCCCTCTCGCCCTCGCCCCCCCCCCGCGGGCGTCCACGGGTCCCGGAGCCACACTGCCCCGCCACTCGACTGGATCGACTGGCCATTCCACCGTCCTCCCCCTCCTCCTCCGCCTCCTCCTCCGCCTCCTCCTCCTCCTCCGCCTCCTCCGCCTCCTCCGCCTCCTCCGCCTCCTCCGCCTCCTCCGCCTCCTCCGCCTCCGCCTCCTCCTCTCCTCCTCCTCCTTCCTCCTCCTCCTCCGCCCCTCCTCCGCCTCCTCCTCCTCCTCCTGGGGGGGGGGGCCGCAAAGGGGGTAAGGGGAGGGGGGAAGGCTCCTCCTAAGCAGCCCTCCCCCTCCCCTCCCCCCCTTCCACCCCCCCCTCTGCGCGCGGCCGCTCCTCCGCCCAGCTGATCCTGGCACCCGAGAGCCAGGATTGGATCCCGGGGGCCCCCCCCTTGGGGCCCCCTCGGCCAGAGGGGAGGAGGGCCCCCTTGGAGGCCCCGAGAGCGGGGAGAGACGGGACCCCGCGCCTCGCCTCCTGGCAGCTGCTCTGCCGCTGGCAGCGGCAGGCCATCCGCAGAAGCCATCCCCGCCACTCGACTGGATCGACTGGCCATTCCTCCCTTCTCCCCCTCCTCCTCCTCCTCCTCCTCCTCCTCCTCCTCCTCCTCCTCCTCCTCCTCTACGCCATCCTGGGGCCCAGGATGGCCCTTGCCTGGCACGGCGGTGGTGTGCAGATGCATCCGTCGGAGACCGTGGCCCTCACGCGGGAGCACAGCGGCAAGCTTCGAGCGGTCGCCGCCGCCGCGCAGGGCGGCCGACGGGCCAGCCATGATGGGCCTGTTTTCCACCACCACCACCACCATAAGTTGGAGGGGGGAAGGAGGTGGAGGACGAGGACGAGGAGGAGGAGGAGGAGGAGGAGGAGGAGGAGGAAGAGGAGGAGGACCCCCTCCCCCTCCAGTTTGTGGCGGTGGTGGTGGACAACAGGCCCATCGAGAGCCTGTCGGCACACGTCGGGCGCCGCATCGGGGCACGCAGAGAGGTCGCCACTGGGCCCCCCCGCGCCCGCTGGCGGGCAAAGCCCGCCGCGCCCCATGCGCCCGCGCCTTTTGCGCAGCGCGGGGTGCCCGGCGCGTGCACCCTGCTTCGGGGCTGGGCCTAAGCGTTGTTTTTCGTTGTGGTTTCGTGTTGGTTGTTCGTCTTGCTCTACAGTCGGCCTTGATTGGACAGGACACGCGAGAGGACACAAGACCCTTCCGAGGGCCACATCGCCATATGAGTGGAAGAAGGCACGTGTCGCGAGGCACAGGACACAAGGGTACCCTTGAGCTGGCAGGGTCGACCAACTAATCCGGGCCGACTGTACCTGTGTTCCTGCATTCCCCTGCCAAAGCGGAAAAAACAAAACACGGCCGAAGTCCAGCAAGACAGCGCTTGGGTCCAGCCCTGCCTTGCCTCTTCAGCGAGTCCGGGGCCTGCGCCAGGGCCGAGTGGTCGATGCAGTCAAAATC